CAAAGAGTCTAACGATGGCTAAACATAAAAACATAACAATATAGAAACAAACAAACAAGCATATATATAATTATACAAAGTAATAGCAGTTGTTTGAGGTTTCTAAAGCTACACATCAGCAAATTTTGAGTTAGTTTTGAGTGGTTACATGGCACTTTAGCTTTCAAAACTACTTCCACAAGCTGCCATGTCAGCAATTTTAGCTTATCAACCCTAATAACCCTTTCGGAAAGAAAACCAAACACTTAATATAAAATATCGACACGTTTCTTTTCTTCTTAGCAATGGAAAACGTCTTTCTATTAAACACCTTAATGAATAAGTCTCTGGTAAATCCTGAAAAAACCAGAGCCCTCCTCTCATCGCAATCTTCCTTTTGTTCTTGATTTTCTACTTTTTCTTCTACCAATTGAATCCTTGCAGGACGCAAAGCTTTGGTGGCTCTCTCGAAAGGGAAGGTAATATAGAAGACCTAAAGGCAAAGCTTTGGTGACGGTATAATTGTCTTCAAAACGTCGTAACATCTTCTCATCTATTTTATTACTTCTTCCGATCATATAGATCACATCTTCAAATCAAACTATTAATTTTTTTTTAATCATGGCCCAATTGAAGGCTGGGCGATGAATCAGAAGAGAGTTTCGAATGGAGGAATCTGAGGGGATTTTGTGGAGTTACATGTTGTAGGCGAGGGAAGTTGGATTTTTCATATGGGAAATTTACACGTATACAAGTTAAGTCACTTTGCCTCCTTCGTAAAATAATCGTCGATCCTTCCACTTCTTTTCTTTAAGTTTTACTAAGTTGTAACCTATGTCATAACACAAACTTCAATAGCAACGTCTCCTTCTCATTTGGATATTTACCTCTTTCATTTGTAGCATCTCTTTTGACGTGATTTTTCTAAATCCGTTGTTATCTTACAAGAATTTTCTAGCAATATGTTGTTTTATAAGAATTTTCGAGAGTTTTAATCTAAAAATGGACCTTCGTCACTCTCTCAGTTTTGCCATAGAAAAGGGGATGAGAGGTGATATGGGTATTCACGAAAATGATCAATTGTAAGCATCCTTTCTAATCTTTAAATATTTTATATGACGGTGGTAGTAGGATGTGAATTTGATATGGTTGATAGGTTCTTATAGATATTCACTTGATAAATTATGTTTTCTTTTTCTAAATTACCATAAAGCATGTTGCTGAATTTTATTGAGAAATGAGATTAGCTGCAATCAAAGGGTCTTGATGAGATCATCTGCTTTAGCGGTAAGTATGAATTTGGTTAGTCAAACATGTGAAAGCTCAAACTGATTAACGTTAATGGTAGTGGGATATAATAGTTTATTTTTACTTCTGGTAACTAGTTCCATAGATTAAGAGCTCACTTCAGGTATTTTCTTAATCAAGTAATTTTTTTATACATCTCAACAGATAAGTTGAGATCTTCCTTGCCCCTGAGGACCATTAAACCCATCAAGTTACATATATTGGCTTGGGTTATTTGCGTGAAGACGATATCACGTCTTTTGCAGTACTTGACGAACTGGAAAGATAGTGGAATCCAGAGAAAACACTCGTTAAACATTGCCTCCAGCAGACAGATATAACCTTTAGGACAATCCCACAAACGTTCACTGGAATTAGGAGTTAGAAATTCTACCTTCTATGACATCCCGCAAGATCTCCTCATCTTCTCAAGGCTCTTTGGAGTCGATGTAGAGGAAAAAAGCCCATAAGCAACGCTCTCATCGTCGACATGTTAATCACTGACATGTTCGTCGATGATTTGTTCAGCAAGAACTTGAAGATCTCGACTATTTGTTTCTTGCAGGGGAGACATAGCATCTAGATTCTCGTCCTCTAGGCGACGGACAACGATATACAGAGTTGTAAACCGCGAAGAAGACTCTCTCACTTCTAAGTGTGAGACTGTACGACAGGGTCCGGAGAAATCCTAATCTCATCATGGGTTTGATCAGAGGAGGAAGAAGAAGAAATGTAAACTCAGGGCATGACTATTGGAGTAGATCACTGATGGATGATGGCAAAAACAAGGAAATCTAAAGCACAAATGCAAAAATAAATAGCAAAAAATCAAAGAACTAGAGAGAGAAAGAGGAAAACTCTTCCTTGGTTTTTTATGAAGAGTAAATAAATGAGAAAAGATTCAAGATCTAATATTTACAGCCGAAGCACGGAGCCCAAGCGTAATTATTAAGCATGGGCGGCTTGTTGACGAGAACAGAGGTGCCCTTCCACGTCACATCAAAATGTGTGGCCTAGAGTGTGCCATGTGTCGAAGTGTAAAAACGAATCAGTTCGAGATCTAGGTCAAATCAGTTTCTTTAACACACTTCAAAGATCTTCTCTTGCGTTGATCACTGAACTTGTGGAGCTTACTGATGGTAGCGGGTTTAGCATCCATCATCATGACCTGACCCATATCTGAACCAACCTGGAGCTTCGCTGGGAGAGCGATGACTAGGCCCACAAAGGCAATTTCGTCCCCGCAAACGAGTTCTGCCCTAGCCTACGATGTTCAACTGACCTAGCATGAATAATGGAAAATCACTTAGGATTAGAACATTTTCCATATTTCTTTAGGGTTTATTCAACCGACTTCATACTTGTATAAATATACAGTGTAATTCTCTTTAAAAGTTATCCGCAACTTTAATGAACTTATTCTTTTCACCGTGTTTAATATTTTCAAGTTTTTTACTTAGAAAACATATTTCCTCAGTTATTTATGAAGGAGTCGAAAGCTTACGTTATCTGAATTCACCTATTTTGATTGGGCCAAAAGTATATTTCATAGAAAAGCTTTTAATCGACCATGAAAATGAAAATGTTTTGTGATGTCCATAAAAAAACGATAAAGTTTTGGTCTGCTTTCTAGATTTAATATTCGGGAAACTTCCTCATAAACCAATATGAAAAAAGGGAATAGACACTAATAACCATAAAAAAACAAATTTGCTCAATAACCAAAAATTAA